TCAGGAGAAAGAATATGTGGGTACAGGAAGTAAGGTGGGAAGGAAGATATGTCATAATTTTATGATGTGTTCTTCAGACTTTCTGTCTTTATCAGCTTCCTCTGAATGTACTTCAGTTTCTCCATTTTCCCATGTAAGGTGTTGGACACAGCCCAGAGTCTAATACCAAGCAGCAGCCAGGCCAATGCAGAGGGCTCTCGCACTACTGCCTCCTTGCCACCCCATTCCAACATGAACAATAATAACAACTCCCAGCCCCAATGTGAGGTGCTTCCCCTAGAACTCCCATAGTACATTGCTATCTCAGCACTTAATACTTTCTGCTTTACATTGTCTTGGACTATCACAGAAAAGTTGCATCAGATAAATGCAAATCAGCATAACAATAGGAATCCCAGGATTTAGCCTAGATTTTTGTCTGTTGGTTGGTTGGTTTTACTTTTTATTAACAATATTCAATGTGGTATTAAGGTATACGCCCATCTCATGAAAGCAACATAGCAACAGGTATTAAAAGATCTGGAAACTATTTAAAACCTACGATTTAGGAATTCTATTTATAGGATGTCATAATAATCAAAAGTGCACACTTTGATTTATGTACAAAGATGTTGATTGCAGCTTCATTTATAACAGTAGAATCTGAAAACCCAATATACAATGGTAGGGGCAAAGTCTGTCCATGCGGTTTTCTATAAACTTTCAAGAGGTTTTTCTTATTTAAAAGTTTTGTTATTACAAAGCAATAGATGTGAAAACTTGAAGCAGTACAGAAATGCAAAGGTACAAGTCATTCTGTGTGATTGCTATGAGGAAACAGTTTTCTTTCCACTGGAGTTGCTCAGCCTGGAAAATATGTAGATGGTCATCCTCTCCACAGAAGCCAAGTCACTTCAGAATGAAGTCACGTACTGAGAAGCAGACAGAGGGAGTGAGTCCTGTATCTGGTCCCTTGAGACCCTGGTTTCTGCAGCTCATCCTTGACTTTGACAGCTACTGCGACATTCTTCCTGTGAAATGAGCTAATCAGCAGCCTTTCTGCCTTTTAACTGAATGCTCATGACTAATACAACGGGGGCCAGCTGTTTTGTGGGAATTAAATGGTATTCTGTTTGTGCTAGAATCCTATGCTAACCAATTAATTCTTCCAACCACATGAAATACAGTCCATTCGGCATGAAATGGACTTGGTAAACCACAAAAGATCACCTTTTCCTCATGAGCACGAATCATCCTGGGAAAAGACATCACATTCACCAGGGTATAGTGTCTAGGATACATACTTCCTCTGTTATGAAACTCAAAATAGCAAGTACTCATTTTAGTCTTATGTCATCTATTCCAACATAGTTTCTCAAGGAGCTGTAGGAAAGCTTTGGGGTCATACGCTAAAGCTCCTTTAATATGCTGAGCCATAACTCATCTGGGTCTAAGGATATTTAACCCATGGAAAACAACAAAGTGCTTTCTACCATGACACCAACTTGGCTTTGATAACTTCAGTTATTTTTCTTTTTCTTCACAGCTTGAGGATCATTTTCTTTGACAGAGAAAATGCAAGCAAATTAGCACTAGGTATTTGTTTTCTTTCATGTGCCTGATCACATCATATCATAATGATCTCAAGCAATGGGATTATCTCTGCCTTTTTTCTTCTAGGTCTTAATATTGAGCATTTAAAAACATCCCCACCCCCCCAGGAAAAACCAACCACTTTCGTTATTAAACCTCAGTGCAGGGCCTCCCAGGTGGCGCAGCGGTAGAGCGTGCTGGGTTGTGAAGCTGCCTGCGGCCTCTGTGATGCCGGTTCAATCCCCGGCTGCTCCCCGGCAACCGGAGGAGGGTCCCACATGGCGCGCAGACCTCTCCTGCCGCCCTCTGCTCCCCTCAGCAGTGTACTTCGGTCCTTCTGCCTGCTCTGCTCCCCGCTCTGGCTCTGGTGAATTCTCTCACCCTCCCGCGCTTCTGATTGTACCCAGTGCATGTATAAACAAAACAAACAAACAAACAAATAAAAACATGCCTCTATTTAAAAAAAAAAAAAAACCTCAGTGCATTATGTGCTATAGAATTTCTGAATCTCCCCTTTCACATCTGTAGCCCTTCTCTGTATTTTCTTTTGCCACACATCCTTCCTCCAAACTTGGATCCTTTATGATCCTAACTTTATTCGGTATTGGCTTCTTTGAATCTCTCTCTCATTTATTCTTCATCCAGATCATTGGATTTTCTAGGTCAAAATCTAGCTCTAAGCACCACCTACTCTTTTGAAACCATATCTTTTTTATAGTCTGTACTGTGAAGTCATGTATATTTTTAATATGATCTATTTTTCAGTGTATAAAGTAATTCCTACTTATATGAGAAAATTTAGAAGCATAAAGAAAGCATACTGTGGTAGAGACGGCTGGCTCTCAGTATCCTTTCCCCCTTTCCTTGAGACACTCAAATGTTGGCTGGGCTGCCCAGAATAAACCCTCCATTTCCTCATGTCCCTGGCACACGGCTGTGACCACGTGACTATCTCTTAGTCAGTGGAATGTGGGCAGAAGTGATGTGTGTGCAACTTGTGGGTTTTGTCCTTAAATCTCCTGTTACTCCTTTTTCCTGGTTTTACCTAGTTTTACTGGCCAGAATGCAATCACAGCAGACATGGTGAGGGAACCATCTTCTGTGCAGAGCAGGGAACACCCTATAAATGGCCCTCCATCAGAATATCAGGAGCCTGGCTAGTTCTATCGGTTCTGGAATATATATGCCAAGGCTGTTATATGAGAAATTAACTTTATCTCAGTTAGGCTGTTGCATTTTGGGTTTCCTTTGTTACAGCAATCTCACCTGTAACCTAGTTTTAAAGTCCCGTAGTTGTAGTCTGAACCTGATCAGAAGAAACCACGTGGTAGGTTAAGCAAGAGAAGTAGAATGTCAAGCATTCACTTTGACAAAGGCGTAATTATAAAATACAAGAAAACTGTATGATGCAAAGGACTGAGAAAGAGTACTTGAGGAAGGGTACCTTCTGAATGCCTGGGTGATTGGTGGGATGAGGTGGGGGAAGCTGGGGAGGCTTAAGGAAGGAAGGATTGCTTAGTGAGTGGTCCTGCAGGCCACAGATGACTGCCTGCAGGCCGTGAAGGGCGAGCTGAAGGAGTAAGGGCAGGTGGCTCCCTCCTGGCCTTGCAAGGCTCTGGTTTGTGTGTTAAAAGAGCTTCAGAGAGGTGATTGCCAGGTTAAAGCTGCAAGGTGGGCAGAGGGTAATGAGTTCTGGGAGCATGACTAGAGCAGAGATGTTTTCATGACCACACACTGGTTCCATCCTAGAAACTTCAGGAAGCTTCTTCCTCCAGCATGCTTTAATGAGAAGGCTTAGCACAGTGCTCACTTTAAAGGAGACTAGCTTAAAGGAATTCTCTTATTTCTAGTACCGCCTACATTGAAGTGTAGTGTATATTTGGATCTGAGAGGCAATAAATTGATAACTGATACAAGGATGTATGTTCAAAGTCTTTAGCACTTAGGGTTTTTAGAACGCTTGATATATGGAGAATCTGACCATTGATGACCTATAAAACAACCTAAGGATTTTGATTTTATAATGGGAAGAACCGGAAGTAGAAATGTCCATTGGAAATACAATTCATAAGGTTATAAAATGCAAAGGAAAAGTCCTCCATACAAGAGGACATTCATTCACCAGAGATAAACACTGGTTTAACAACTTGGTGTTTTTGCTTCCGGCAAACAAATACATGAATAACACAAAAAAGAACACACTTGTGGACTTCAAACTTTTTTTTTAAACTTAGATCAAGAAATCAATTTGTCATTGTAAAACAATATATGCAATTCTAATTAAAAAAACACTTACCATATGATGAGATTTGGGGTGCTAGCCCTCTAAACTGTCTTCGATGTGGCTAAATTTGGAATGACACTCCTACTCTTCTAGGACTCTGGTGTTGGATGATGGATTGGATGAAGGGCCATTTGCAGAATGTTCCCTGGTGCGCACAGAAGATAGTCCTTTTCCCCCCTAACACCCCCATCATCTCTGCTGTGATTGCATCCTGGCTAGTTAAAACCAGGTAAAACCAGGGAAAAGGAGTAACAGGAGATTTAAGGACCAAACCCACAAGTTGCACACACATCACTTCTGCGCACATTCCACTGACTAAAAGATAGTCACGTGGCCACAGCCGTGTGCCAGGGACATGAGGAAATGGAGGGTTTATTCTGGTCAGCCCAGCCAACATGTGAGTGTCTCAGGGAAGAGGGGAGAACGGATCCTGAGCGCCAGCAGTCCGCCTCAGTGCTTCTAAACTTTCCCTTTGAAAAGTAGGAATTTTTATATTGAAAAAAAATCATTAAGGGCCTACCTAGGGTTTTACAGCAGAGACTATAAAAAGGGACTCTGGGCCCAAGGAGATCAAGCTTTGATTTTCACACACAAGGTTGTCATGTCACTGGCGCAGCCTTTTGCATCGCGTCTGGTTCCTTCCCAGCGGGCGAGCCCGAGCCTGGAGGAAGGTCTGTGACTCGTCGCCGAGCGCCACTGAAGGCCCATTGGCTGCGCCACGCCCAGCGCTTCCCCGGCCCGCCCCGGGACGCGAGGCCGGGACCTCCCCTCTCCGGGGCGCACCGGACCCCGACCCGCTCCCCGGGGACCGCCGCCCCAGCGCCCGCCCCTCCTGGCCGCACCCCCTGCTGGGGCGCCCCGCCCCTCCCCGCCCGCCCCGCCCCAGGCGCGCGCCGCCTCCGTGCGCTCAGGGCCGCGCGCTCCCCGCCCGCGCCCGCGCCGCCCGCCTCGCTCGGCTCCCGCGGGCCCGGGCCCGGCTCCGCCCGCCCGCCCGGCTCCGCCCGCCCGCCCCCGGCGCCCCGGGGGCCGCGCCCGCCGCCGGGGCGCGCCCCGCTCCGCCGCAGCCCGCGCCGCGCCGGCCTCTCCCCGAAGCAGCCCGCGCGCCGGCCGGTCCCGACGGTCAGCCCCGGCCGAGCCGCGCGCCATGGACGGGGACGCCGCGGCCGCCCGCTACCAGCCCGCCAGCCCCCGCGGGACGCCTGCGTCTACAACAGCTGCTACTGGTGAGCGCGGGGCGCCCCCCGCCGGCCGGCGCGCCCCGCCCCGCCTCGCCTCCCGCCCCCCGCGCGCCCCGGGCCTGCCGGCGGCCCCCGGCCCGCAGCCTCCGCGGCGCGCCTGCCTCGGGCCCGCGGGGCCTCGGCGCGGACGGGCCGCGTCCCGCGGGCGTGGGGGTCGGCGGCGCCTCCCCGGCCGGGCGCCCTCGCCACGTGTCCCCGCGGCCCGGGCTCCGCGCGCGCGCCCCGGGGGAGCCGGAGGCCGAGGGCGCCCGCGGAGCGCCTGGGCAGGGGGAGTCCTCGGCGGGCGCCGGTGCTCGCGCGCGGGTGTGACGGTCGCTGCAGTTTTGGAGGCGCAGATTTTATGGGAACTTTTCCGGGGTCACCCAGCTAATAGCGGCCTGGAGTCCCTTTCAGGTCGTCTTGCGCCCGAAACGACGCTGTGGTGATAGTGGTTATGCTTAACCCCTGCCTCCCGAGGCCTAATGCGTTGGAGTCCTCAGTTACCCCACCAGGGAGGGTCTGTTAGTCCCATTTTGGGGATGAGGACATTGGAGCACAGCGGGGTGCAAGTAATCCGCTCAAGGCCACATAGCCATGTGAAAGTGTAGGGATGGGGATTTGTGGGCAGAGTTTGGTTCTGGAGCCCAGTTGATGCTGTTTTAAGCCTCTCCATAGCAAAAGCTTGATCCGGCTCTTGGTCCTTTCCACTCCTGCACCTTCCCTCCCAGCACCCAGTCCCGTACAAGAAACTGCAGGGACATCTGAAACTACTTTTCTCTGCTGCTGCCAGTCTCCAAACAGTGCCACCAGAAGCTTTACATCTGTGTACCCCAACATGTGAGGCCCAGTGCCAAGAGCGTCCATCTTTGCCTAGGAGATACTGTTACCTGTCATTTTCTATTAATATATCTTTCCTAGTATTACAATACTAATTACTGTTATTACCGTTGTTTATATCTTTCTCATGAAAAGACTGAGCCACAGAGAGGCCTGGTTGCCAAGGATCACTCACTGATCAAGTGGGGGTGCTGAATCAGTACCTGTCTTGGGGAGACAAGGCTGTTAAAACTACCTTCTCTGCCTTTTACCTCTAAATCTTGTTAGTTTTCCTCCTTAATTCATTGTCTTATTCATTCATCCAATAAATCTTTTATTAGGCACTTGGAGTGTGATTCTACTCTGGGCACTAGGAATACAGCAGTGAACGAAATAGACAAATTCCCTGGTTAAGATCTCATGATTTTGGTATTTTCCAGAGGGAAACAAGTCATGTGGGTGGTGCTAAGTTGCTATGAGAAAACAAAAACAAGGTGAGAGGTGGTGTCTTATGTTAGGATTTTAAAGAAGACGTTGTTAATAAGGTTAATACTGTTAATACTTTGGAATAGAGATCTAAAGAAAAAGAAGGCAGGAGGCTTGTGACTAGGGTGGGGGAACTTTCCAGTCAGGGGGAATAGCAGTTGCACATGTTCTGAAGACATGAGTGTGAGTATTCTGGCAATTGCAGGCTGGCTGCTACAGTGTAGTGATCTGGTAGGAGAATGGTAAGAGATCAAAGTCTCCTCAGTGATCTCTCTCCTTGTAGTTTCCTCAGCCATAAGATAGGCCTTCCTTGCTGTACCATTCTATTCTAGCCCCGCTCTCCCCTGTTCTGATCGGTCTTTAACCTTTGTGGCCTTCACGTTGCCCAAAGCTGTTCTTAATTTATTCTGTAGAATCACCTGGGAACTTGTAAAACATACAGATCTTAGGACTCCATCCCAGCACAGTGGAGGAGTTTTTGAGCACATTCTAGAAGAAGAGCATAGACAATAAAGTATCTTCTAGAAGAAGGGCATAGACAATAAAGTATCGTCAGACTATAGTAAGCTCACCCTGAATTCCTATTACCTAATTTTGAATCTACCTTTTCTGCTCCCAAGGTTTCTTTTTTTTTAAAGATTTATTTATTTATACAAGAACTAGGGTACAGGTCAGAGGCACAGGAGGGTGAGAGAATTCACCAGAGACAGAGCAGGGAGCAGAACAGGCAGACGGATCAAAGACACTGCTGAGGGGAGCAGTGGGCGAGGCAGGAGAGGTCTTGCCACGCCATGTGGGTTTCTCCCTGGCGGGCCAGGAATGGAACCTGTGCTGCAGAGGCCGTGGACAGCTTCACAGTGTGGTGCTCAACCTGCTATGCAACCGGGGAGGCCCCCAAGGTTTCTTAATGTTGACTTGACATTTTGAGCATGCTGATTCTTCTTTGTAGAAGACTGTCCTGTGTATTGTAGGATGTGTAACAGCATCCCTGGTTCCACCTTCTAGATGTCCATGGAACATTCCCCTAAAGTGAGCCAACCAAAAATACCTCTAGATAGGGGCCTCCCCGGTGGTGCAGCGGTTGAGCGCTGGGTTGCGAAGCTGCCCGCAGCCTCTGTGGCGCCGGTTCCATCCCCGACTGCTCCCCGGCCACCGGAGGAGGGTCCCACATGGCGCGCAGACCTCTCCTGCAGCCCGCTGCTCCCCTCAGCAGTGTACCTCGGTCCTTCTGCCTGCTCTGCTACCCGCTCTGGCTCTATTGGGTTCTCTCACTCTCCTGAGCTTCTGACTGTACCCAGTGCTTGTATAAATAAATAAATAAATCTTTAAAAAAAAAAATACCTCTAGATATTGCCAAATGTCCCCTTGGGGGCAAAATTGTCCACATTTTCTCAGTCAGGTGAGCCCTGTCCTGTCTTAACACATCAGGTAGGTGCACCTTACCACATTTACTTTTGCAGGTTGTTGTAACTTGAAGTAAGTGCTTCTTCTCTACTTCGTTAGCTTCTGTCAGATGTTTACTATCTTAGGAGATCCACTCAGATAATAATGGTAGCCAGTATTTGTGTGGCACAGTGCTGTTTGTAGCGCATTACTGATTCAGATGTAATTGTTTTGTATTTTTCCAACTTTTGTTGCTCACATACTGTGCGCCACAGATCATTCTTGATTAGCTTCTCTGACCTCAGTACATCACCAGTTATCCTTCCAGATTCTCAGCCCTTAAGTTGCTTTGTTAACCTTTCTGCTACCAAAATGATGAACTTACTTATTAGGATGTTATCATAATCCTCCCCTCTCCCCAACACACTTTTTTTTTTTAAAGGTTTTAAATTTTTTTTATTTATTTATACAAGCACTGGGTACAGTCAGAAGTGCGGGAGGGTGAGAGAATTCCCTAGAGCCAGAGCAGGGAGCAGAACAGGCAGACCGATGAAGTACACTGCTGAGGGGAGCAGCAGGTGGCAGGAGAGGTCTGCGCGCCATGTGGGACCCTCGTCCGGCGGCCGGGGACAGCTTCGCAAGCCAGTGCTCAACCACTGCGCCACCGGGGAGACCCAGCACACATTTTTTTTTTAAACCAGATAAATGGGTGGACTTTAAACCAGATAAATGCCAGGACTTTACACCAAATTTGAAGCTCTTTCTGTTCTAATAGCAACTCCCAGTGTTTCCAGGTATAAAGTCTTCATTTCTATTAACATCAAGGGTTTCATGAGCTCTTCCAATGTGATATTAATTATGCTCTTGGAAAAAATCGATGGTTAGAAAGGGACTACAAATTCAGAAGCACTATGCTTAAATTTGTTTTTTCTCTGGGTAATGACACATACTTGAAAAATAATTGGCACAGTACAGAAAGTTCTCATTTAACATCAACAATAGGTTTTTGGAAATAGCATTTTTAAGCTAAACATTGTGTAACAAAACTAGGTTCTTGAATAACGCTTTGTTCGTCCTTGACCAGGATTTTTCCTCATCAACATTTTAACAAATGATGTTTAACAAAATGATGATGTTATTTGAGGATGCTATATGTTCAAGCCACACCTGTGAATAGCCTACCAGTAGTGCTTGTGGTGCACATGGATTCACCAACTCTTTGCATTAACTCTGCCCAGCCTTGGGGTGGTAGGAGAAGGAAACTGCAGGAGAAATCACTGGCCTATACCCCCCTTCAACCTCTGGTAGCCTTCAAAATTAATGATTCCCTCTTCTGTGCTTTTTCTGTGCATATTTTATGGCCTCCTATGATGTATGCTTATTTATTGATCTGTCTCCTCTCATTGACTGTCAGCTCTAATTTCTCATTAATCCCTTTAAGCACTTAGCACAGTGCTTTGTACAGCATGGACTCTTGAAGATGTTTATGGTAAACACTCCAGAATATCTGTAGGCTAGACAGACAAATGTCTTCTTAAAACATGGCTTAGAAAATCTAGATTTTAAAAAAAAAGCTACTAAATGTTTTATGTCACGTTAAGACAGTAAATTTTTGAGATTCCATACAACATAACATTGAAGTAGCTGGTAGCTATCACCTGTTGTAACCTCTGCCATTGCTTTTTCCATAAGGTGTTGTTGGTATTATAGAGAAGAAGAAAAACCATAGGAGAAAAATATAGATTCCTAACTTCATTATTTTAGGCCTAATCTTATACAGCATTGAGATAGTAGATGAGCCCAAGACTTGTGAATTGAGTGTGTATATCCCTAAAATTATGGCCACTGTCCTCAATGCTGTTCCTTCCTTGCTTCATTTTCAGGTAGCTGGTGACTGGGAATAAGGTTTTGACAAGACAGATCGAGTTGTGTATGTGAGCACAGTGTTGGTTCAGCTGATATTGAGCAAAGGTGTAATGTGGCTCTTAGAAACACCTAGGAACCCAGAGGCGGAGCTGTGAATATTACCAACAATGACTGCTTGCCTGTGTGGGAATGTGACTGAGGCTACTGATGGGGCTTGGTTTGATGCAGTGGATACTGTACTCTTAGGCAGTTCAGACCTCTGCTTCAAAGAGCCATGGACCTGTCGTAAGGAAGAGAGCATCATCTGGGGCAGAATTACAGGAAGATGGATTTCAGTTCAGTATGAGAAAGATCTTTCTGCCGGTCAGGACCTCCCTTGTACTAGAGAGGATTGGGGCATCCCACACACAGGGCCTCCCTCCAGAAGAATTCCTGGACATATCACATAATTGCCCTGATCCTGCTACTTAAAATTCCCATTCTGCCCATTCCTAATGGTTGCAGAAAGCCATTATTAACCAAGATCAATATGATGTGATTTTCCACATTTTGCAGGTGAGGAAAATGAATACCCAGAGAAGTCAGAATGTTCTCAGCTTCTTACCTTGTAAGTGGCAGTGTTTAAATTCCAGCTTTAACTCAAGTCCCTGTACGGCAAAGGTTGTAAAGTACTGACTTAGCATTTTATCAGTTAGAAAAGGCCTCCATATGCATGCACTGCCTTTAGGAGGTCAGAGCTCTGTGTCTGGGGAGGGCCCACATGCAGTATAGGCTGTAACAGCTCATTGGGGTGTTCTAGAGGATGCTCAAATGTTAGCCAGTTGTTGGATGAGATGGTGTTTCAGCTCTCATCCAACTTCTTTGTCATCATCAATCTTCTGTTCAAGTTTGAAAGACACAGAGCATTCTTGCTTAATTACACTGATTGTTATTTTATTTCAGTGAAGAAAATATTTGGAAACTCTGTGAATACATTAAAAACCACGACCAGTATCCTTTAGAAGAGTGTTATGCTGTCTTCATATCTAATGAGAGGAAGATGGTAAGTTGGGTGAGTGATAGCAGAAAGAAAAGACTTAGGATGACAACAGAAGCTAAATATAGCTTAGGTTTAAGCACTATTCTAAAACATGTGTTATAAAACACAGCAATATTGTGATGTTTGTTCTTGAGTGAGATTTTTCTTTCTAGGACACAGTTTTGTTAGAAGAGTTTATTCCTTGTAAGTAAGGGAAGATATTGTGGTATGTTTACAGATTAAGTCTCTTTTCTCTAGGTATTAAGTTAGAACATTTAAAATTGTTTAGGTTAGAGCCATATGGTTCAGGTTTGACATAAACATTTCTTTGTCTCTGGAATTTAAATAGACTGCAGTGAACATATGCAGTAATATAAAAAGTAAGTCTGTTGTATTTTGTCAAGCACATTTGCAAGCATCATCATTTGATCCTAATGGAAGTATGTGAAGTTAGATATGGTTCAGACCACTTGGTTTTATAGATGAGGAGATAGAGATTCAGGGAGGCCCCATGAATAATTAAGGGACAAAGCAAGAGTTGAACCTGCCTGGCCTTTTGATTCTTAGTTCAGGTCTTTTTCTACTCTCCAAATACATATATATGTGTGTGTGTATATATATATATGTGTGTGTGTGTGTGTGTGTGTGTGTGTGTACACACAATTTTGCTTTTTCATAGTGAAGGACACTGGAAGGATTTTTATTTCATTTAGTAGGAATTCCTTCTTTCTCCATGATTGCTGGTTACTTAGAAATATTTTTTATTTATATGTTGCTATAAAATATTTGATCATGATTTAGCTGAAATTGTGGCTTATGAAGTTTACTGTATTTTGTAGATACCTATCTGGAAACAACAGGCAAGACCTGGAGATGGCCCTGTAATCTGGGTAAGTGGGCAGTGCAGAGAGCTGCCGATGCGGCCTTGTACTCACTTAGTGGTATTACGTTTCCTTAAAGCAGACCTGATGGGGCAGTAGAGAAAGCCTATGGTTGTTAATAAATTGACCTCTTGGGGCCTCCCCTGGTGGCGCAGCGGTTGAGTGCTGGGCTGCGAAGCTGCGCGCAGCCTCAGCAGCACCGGTTCGATCCCCGGCCGCCGGGCAAGGGTCCCACATGGTGTGCAGACCTCTCCTGCCGCCCGCTGCCCCCCTCAGCAGTGTACTTCGTCACTCTGCCTGTTCTGCTCTCCGCTCTGGCTCTGGTGAATTCTCTCACCCTCCTGCGCTTCTGACTGTACCCAGTGCTTGTATGAATAAATAAATAAATCTTAAAAAAATAAAAAATAAAAAAATAAATTGACCTCTTGAGGGTAGGTGTTATTTGGTCTGAGGTAGAAGCTCTTACAGGCATGTTTTCTTTTAGTTTTGAAATTATTGTAGAAATGACTTTAAATGGACTATATGCCAGATATGTTTGTCATCTCCTAGTCCCATTTCCATTTAGTTCTGGAAAGGAACTTTAGCAATATCCAGTTGCACGGGAGAATTATATGCACACTGTAAGATACAGATTTCAGATTTGGTCAATCTAGAGAAGGGGTCAGGAATTAATGTTCTTAGCACGCTTTCTAGTGACCACGACTGACATTTGAAAAATGTGACCTACCTCAGCCCCTTCATTTTTCAGGTGAAGAAGCAAGCCCACATACAGTAGTTCAGGGTCATCTAACTGATGAGTAGCAGGACTGGGTCTCAAAACTGGGTCCTTTTTGATACATATCTGTATCACTTTAACCTGTCCCCTTAAAGAATGGACTTGTGGGGCCTCCCTGGTGGCACAGGGGGTTAAGATGCAACCTATGAAGCTATCACCAGCCACTGCAGCATGAGTTTGATCCCCGACCAAGGAGCAACCCACATAGCGAAGCAGACCTCTCTTAACTCGCCTGCTGCTCTCCTCAGCAGTGTGTTTCAATCATTCTGCCTTTTCTGTTCCCCACTCTGTCTCTGGTGAATCCTCTCACACCCACATCTCTGGCCTGTACCCCAGTTCTTGTATGCAAAAATAAATAAATTTTTTTTTTTAAAAAAAAGAATGGACTTGTATCCACTAATAAGCATAGCGATAAAAGTCAGTGCATGATAATGTAACAAATAACTAGTTTCTGATACTTAAAAGATCATTTGAATTGGCTTTATTCATTTACTTAACCTGTATTTATTGAATGTGTATTATATGCCACAAGTAATAGGAAATATGTACTTCGAAAACACTAATATGAGGTAGAAGGTGTTGAGAGAAACAGCTTTTATTTTATTTTTTTTAAAGATTTGGGGGGGTGGTGAGAGGATTCCCCAGAGACAGAGTGGGGAGCAGAACAGGCAGATCTACTGATATACACTGCTGAGGGGAGCAGCAGGCGAGACAGGAGAAGTCTGCTTCACCATGTGGGTAACTCCCTGGCCGGGGATCGAACTCATGCTGCAGTGGCTGCCAATAGCTTATTGGTGCTGAGACTTCACCCCTGTGCCACCAGGGAGGCCTGAGAAACAGATTTTAAATAAGACAGAATTTGCTTCTGGAAGGGATTGGGGGAATTTTTAAAAAGATGAACTCATGGAGGAGGAAGCATTTGAGTTGGAGCTTGAGTGGGGGAGATGGGAGAAAGGTGGAGAAGGTTGTTGTACTTGGAGGGAGATAACGTGAGTAAGTCCAAAGGAAGAAAATTATAGACAGTTGTAGGGGGGAGCAGCTCTTAGTTTCGTTATCTGGAGGGCAGGATGCATTAAGGAGAGTGGAGGGAAGAGACATCCATTTCTGGTGCTATTTCTGCTTCACTCAGGTAGACTTGGAGCTGAAGGCAGCACTTTAGGCTCTGATGGTCCAACGTCACTAGTGTCAGTTATCTTTCCCACCTCATGGGGCAAAGTGAAATAATGTTTGAGAAAGTGCTTTGTAAGCTTTGCAGCACTAGCAGGATAAGATGGTATTACTGATGTTGTTAGATTGAATTTATCATCTTGTGTTCTCTGTGAGAGCATTTTTCTTCTGAGGATCTTCAAGCACCAGACTGCCCTCATGTCCCTGATAACCTCCCTGTCTTCCCTTCCGGCAAGTTACTGGTGTTGGGCCGTGCCCAGTGTCTGTAAAGAGTGAGAATTCACATATGCACCATGACCCAGCAGAGTGGGAGAAGCTCTCTGTCCTTCTCTCTCTCTGGCTACAGACTAGGACTCGACCGATTGTTTTTGAGAAACAAATGTAGTGTAGAGCAAGAAATTAAAGTCCTTCTCTGCAAGAAGTCCCCTTTGTTAATAGTTTGGAGTTTATCTCTGCAGATTTTTTTCTCTGCATTCATCTGCATGCTTACGTACTTCCCAATGTATATACATAAGACTTTAAAAAAAAATTATAACATGTACTCTGCAGTTTAATTTTTCCATCCAGTAACATGTTTTTTTCCCCTTTCCATTTTCCACATAAATTTACCTCTTTTTAACAATTGTATAGTATTCCACAATGTGATTGCTTCGTGGTTTAGTAACCGTTCCTCTTGGATAGACTGGTTGTTTCTGGATTTTCTTTTTTTTTTTTATATAAAGAGATTTATTTAATTATACATACAAGAGCTGGGTACAGGCCAGAGATGTGGGCGGGTGAGAGGATTCACCAGAGACAGAGTAGGGAGGAGAATAGGCAGATGTACTGAAATATGCTGCTGAGGGAAGCAGCAGGTGAGACAGGAGAGGTCTGCTTTGCCATGTGGGTTGCTCCCTGGTTGGCTGGGGATTGAACTCATGCTGCAGAGGCTGTGGATTGCTTCATAGTGTGGTGCTTAACCTCTTGCACCACTAGGGAGGCCCTGTGAATTTTCACTATTATAAACAGTGCTGTAGAGAGGTACTTTGTAAAATACTTATGTGCATATGGGCATTTTCTGTAGGAGGGATTCCTAGAGGTAAAATTGCTGGGTCAAAGGGTATAAATTTAATGTATATGAACATTTTTACGATTTATTTAACCATTTCCCTGTCAATGGACATTCAGTCTATTTTCAGGGTTTTGTGTTTGCTTTATTTTACTTTCCCATTATGAGGAGGACTGTATTAGCCTTATATCTGTTCATGATGATGTTATGTGCGTTATTACTGTAACCTTGGAATTACCATCATAAAGTTAACTTCAGCTTTTACTTCTAGGATTATCATGTTGTCTTACTTCATGTTTCAAGTGGAGGACAGAGCTTCATTTATGATCTTGACACTGTCCTGCCATTTCCTTGTCCTTTTGACACTTACGTGGAAGATGCCTTTAAGTCTGATGAGGACATTCATCCACAGTTTAGGAGGTGAGGAGATTCAGGATGGATTTTTTGACTTTTTTTTTAAATTTTTCTCCTTTTTTTATTGAGGTAACATTGGCTTACAACACTGTGTGTAGTTCAGAGGTGTCAATCACATCTCAGATGCCATGCCCCCATGCCACACCCACTGCAGAGGCACCCATAGTTGTCCACCATAGTCCAGTGGAGGGTCCCAGCTTTCTTAATTTAAGCCTTGACAAAATTATACTGAAGTTGTTGGTGTATGTTTGTAAAGATCCTTTGTCTTGGCATCACCATTACGTTAATATTTGACAATGACATGCTACACAAAAGATTTAAACTGTTTTAAAAGTGACCTGACAGGTAAACAGTTGACAGACAAAAGACTGAAAATGTGGTGAGATTACAAACATTTTCTTTTGTTTCTGTTGGGAATTTCTCTTGCTTGTGTGTATGTGGAAGTGGGGGGTGCCTTGTGATGCCAGATTTCTAAGGGTTAAATGGCTGCATGTGAAAATTATGCCCTTTGCTCCTAATGCACAATTGATTAATTAAGGACAACAAGATACATTTTTTGCCTTTTGTTGCTTGGGATTTCAGTTTGTCATTTCTCAGTGACTTTTGTAACAGGTCCTGAATCTGTGTATATGTTTAAGAACTGCTGATAGAAGGCAGTTTTACATGTATGGTTTTGTGCGTGTCATGGAAATGAGTCTGTATAAAAATGAGCTAGAGTTTCAGTTACTTCTCCAACATAAATGGATGTTGTTTGATCCGCAGGAAGTTTAGAGTGATACGTGCAGATTCATATTTGAAGAACTTTGCTTCTGACCGATCTCACATGAAAGATTCCAGCGGGAACTGGAGAGAACCTCCTCCCTCCTACCCCTGCATCGAGACTGGCGGTGAGCCAAGATGCCTTCTCAGGCACTTATCACTTTCTGGCCTCCTTCAATCAAGGGCAAAAATTCTGTCATTTGTATAATGACAGAATATCGTTATATATTAGATATATAACGTGGGCATATCTTTATTATTAGATTTATTATTTTATTTTTAAAGATGTATTTATGTATATAAGAGCTGGGGTACAGGCCAGAGATGTGGGGGGTGAGAGGATTCACCAGAGACAGAGTGGGAACAGAACAGGCAGACTGACTGAAAATCACTGCTGAGGGGAGCAGCGGGTGAGACAGGAGAGGTCTGCTGTGCCCTGTGGGTAGCTCCCTGGCTGGCCGGGAATTGAACTCGTACTGCATTGGCTGCAGATTGCTTCATAGTGTGGTGCTTAACCCCTTGCTCTATTAGGGAGGCCCCAGATTTGTTTTATTTATTTATTTATTTATTTATTTATTTATTTAAATGATTGCCTTTATTTTTTTTTAAAGATTTATTTATTTATTTATACAAGCACTGGGTACAGTCAGAAGCGCGGGAGGGTGAGAGAATTCACCAGAGCCAGAGCGGGGAGCAGAGCAGGCAGAAGGACGGAAGGACACTGCTGAGGGGAGCAGCGGGCGGCAGGAGAGGTCTGCGCGCCATGCGTGACCCTCCTCTGGTGTCTGGGGAGCAGCCGGGGATCGAACCAGCGCTGCAGAAGCTGCTGGCAGCTTCACAACCCAGCGCTCAACCGCTGCGCCACCAGGGAGGCCCAATTATGTCCTATTACTTTTTTCCAAACTTTTCCTCTACATCATTTTGGATAGTTCTTATATTTTTGCCTATAAATTCATTGATCTTTTCTCTGTATTAACTAATTGGTTGTTGTCCCTTCTGGGGGAATTTTCTCTTCATTGTACATATTTTTTCATCTTTAGGAGTTTCATTGGGGGCTGATTTAATATCTCCCCTTTCTTCATCATGCTTATTTTTTTATTCTGCTCTTTTGAATATGTGAAGAATTTATAATAGCTGTTTCTTGGTCTTTGTGTGCTAGTTCTGTTATCTTTGTCATTGTCATTGCAGTCTCTGGTAGTTGATTTTTCTCCTGACTTTTGGGTCATGTTTTCATGTTTCTTTGTGTGATTCATAACACTTAGTTGGATGCTGGACTTTCAGAATTTTGTATTGTCAGAGTTGTTTTATCTTGAGATACTTTTTAACAATACTGTTGGGTTTTGTTCCATTGTGTGGTTAAATCACTGGGGGTCAGTTGTATCCTTTTAAGGCTTGCTTTTAAGTCTGCTTAATGCAAGCTCAGAGCAGCCTTTCATCTAGGGCTAATTGAGCCCTGCTGCCTGCATGGCCCTGCTGCCTGCATGGCCCTGCTGCCTACATGGCCCTGCTGCCTGCATGGCCCTGCTGAGGACTCCACCGAATGCCCTTGTGTTCCGAGTTCTCTCCACCCTGGCTAGTGGGGACTGTGGAAGTTCTGGGACTTACTCGACCAAGTATTTTCTGGTGCTTCTTGCCCTGACCTCATGAGATCGTACCTAAAGGGGTGTGTGGGCGGGGAGGGGGCGGAATGGATCCCCTCTGTGGATTTCCATACATTGCACACTCTCTCCTCTGATACTCTCTCACACTCAGATCTAGCAGCCTGGGCCTGCCTAAATTGAGAGCGGTGTCTATGCTGTGGTGTGGGAACTGCCCTGGGATGGGGCCAGTAGGTGGAGCGATCTAGACTTCTCCTGGCTTTGCTTCTGCTTTCTCACGAATCACAGGCGAGTGCTTCACATTGTCCATTGTCTGGAAACAGTCACTTCATCTGTTTCTCCAGTTTTCTGGTAGTTTATGGTGGAAGTTTAGTTCTGGTAACAATTCTTTGATGGGCAAAGCAGAAATCTGAACATACGTAAGATTTATTTTTTAATACGGAAAATTTAAATCACATGTAAAAATAGACAGTATATCAAACTTTCAGTGTTTACCATTACCAGGTCATGACCAATCAATTCATTTATATCCCATCCACTTTCTCCTTTCTTGAATTATTTTGAAGAATAAGCCATTCATTATGTCCTTTCATTTCTTAAAAATTTCATTATGAATCTTTAAAATACAAGGATTTCTTTAAAAAAAAAAATGACCCCATTACCATTATATATCTGAAAATGTTAACAGCAATTCTTTAAAATCATCTATTTCTCTAGTCAGTGTTCATATTCTCAGTTACAAAGTCATCATCTTTTTTCATCCAGTTTGTTTATTTGACTCAGCGTTCAGAGTCAAATAGTGGGGAAATAGTGCTTGGTTGATAAGGCTCTTAAGAATCTTTTTTAATATTTAGAGTCCTTCTTTAACTCTTTTTTTTTTCCCCCCTTGTAATTTGCTGAAGAAACTGGGCCTGGAAGAAACAAGCTGGTTTTGCTGATTGGCTCTCTCTTGTCTCCTTTGACTTTACTATAAATTGGCTGTTAATACAATACATTGGCAGTTTGATTGTCCATGTATTTTCTTTTCTTTTCTTTTCTTTTTTTTTTAAGATTTATTTATCCATGCGTACAAGACCTGGGGTACAGGCCAGAGATACGGGGGCGGGGGGGCAGTGAGCGGATTCACCAGAGACAGAGTGGGGAACAGAACAGGCAGATTGACTGAAGTACACTGCTGAGGGGAGCAGGGGGTGAGTCAGGAGAGGTCTGCTGCACTGTGTGGGCTGCTCCCTGGCCAGCTGCCAGAGATCGAACTCTTTTGTGCTGCAGAGGCTGCGGAGTGCTTCATAGTGTAGTGCTTAACCCCTTGAGCCACCAGGGAGGTCCCTGTCCATATATTTTCATTTTGAAATTATTATAGACTTATAGAAAGTTTGCTAAAACAGTACAGTTTCTTTATTGTCTTTACTCAGATTTCCCTTAATGTTAAGTTTTACATAACCATAGTCTAATTATCCAGACCAAGAAAATGGTACAATTGACACAAAAATATTAACATAATAGTATTGATACAATACTACTAATTTCTAGGCCTTATTTATATTTTGCATTATTTTCCATTAACTTCTTTTTTCTGATCCAGAATCTCCTCCTGGACATTACATTTAGTTATCATGTCTCCTCAACCTCTTCATTTTGTGTCAATTCCTTTTTTTCCTTTTGCAGCTTTTATATTTTGAAGAATTGGTCTGGTGTTTTGTGGAGTGCCTCATTTGGGTTTGTGTGATGTTTTTGTCATGATTAAATTGAGGTTAAGTATTTGAGATGAGAACACCACAGAAGTGATAACTATCCATTAGAGTTATTTTTCCTACCTTTGATCTTTTTGGTTGTTTTATTGCTATTAAAATGTGTTTTCAGTGCACATTTCTTTCATGTGTTTTTAGATTGCAAAATGAACCTGAATGATTTTATCAGTATGGATCCTGAGGTCGGATGGGGTGCTGTCTACTCACTCTCTGAATTTGTTCATCGGTTTGGCAGTCTGAACTACTGAACTTGACATCTGGACATGGTACCATGGTGAAATTATAGGATATAAACAGTCCATCCTTTACTTGGGACAGTAAACAGTACAGTTGGCTTAGCATTATGTTTTTTTTCTCTCTTAATCCAATTAAGTTGAAACACAAGTTTTGTATGATTTTGAGTTTTTTGATAATTTAAGTTGGAATTTGATGTTGTGTGTATTTGCTAAGATATTCCTATGATTCATTTGTTAAAATGTGGTGATGATTTATGCCGTAATTGTTCTTTATGATAATAGTGTAGAATTTGTGTCCATTCTGAGTGTTTTGCTTTTCCCCAGCTATATTGTAAGCTCCTTGAGGGCAGGGTTGTGACTCATTGCTCTGTAAATCTCTAACATAAAAGGTGCAGAAACAAATGTTTGCTTGTGATTGTGCTGCTGCTTGAGGAGGGCTAATATTGTGAGCTGAATCAGCAATAAGTATTAGTCTTTTTGGACTATTGTGTTCCTAAAAAAGAAGATAGCCTTCTCAGGCTTGAGTGTTGTTTGGCCTATTTATGTTTCTAAATAAAATTGATTTAAAATTAATTTTGCTTTGAAGATTTTGTGTCATTGTTGGTCATATGAGAGCCTAAGAATATCTCAGTCGTGGATGGGAACCATTGCTTTACAGTGCAGCACCATTGCCTTCTTGAAGATATTTTGGTTTTAATCATTTAATTCCAAATAAAAATGTTTGGCATTAAACTGGCATTCAGCACTGGTTCTACTGCAAAAAGGAACAATTACTATAAAATGAAGGATGTCCAAGCTTTTAATCTTCAGTGAGTTTTCTGCTTATTAAGAAGCTTTCATTTAATATAGTTCCTCTGCCTTGTGCCATAGAAGGATTAACTATAGTTATTTACTGAAGAATCAATCTAAGGAACCATTTGTATCCATTTGATTTAGCTGACCAGGAAAATTCTGGGAAAAAGTGAATGAACTTTTGGAAAGAAAACAAGTATACTATCATGTTATTTTATAATTTAGAGCTAAATATAGATCCCATATTTAAATATATCATGAATTTCAGATGGTCATTTAAAAGAAATATATGTTGCTAAAATGAAGGAGATAAATTAAGAGTTTGTATCAGGAAAATGCTTTGTCCTGAGTAAAATGTTTCAGGGATCAAAGGATTGGACTCTTGATTTACAAAATTGCATTTTTGGAGGGTTTTTTTTTCCCCCTTTCGCTTTATGAGGAGTTTTCCAATCTGGTATTCAATTGAGTAGTACAGACGAAACAGGCTATGTATGTTTGACCTTCCCAGCTACCTTGCCTTGAAATTGAAAATGTCCTACTTCTAACCAGCATAGGGAGCAAAGTTTAGTTTTAAGCCTATTAAAAATAACACCCCTTGGTCCAACCACTATGGAGAGCTGTGTGGAGATTTCTGGACCTACTAAACATAGAGCTTCCATATGATCCAGCAATTCCACTCCTAGGTATTTACCCAAAGGACACAGAAACATCCATTCCAAAGAGCACCTGCACCCCTATGTTTATAGCAGCACTATTTACAATAGCTAAGCTTTGGAAACAGCCCAAATGCCCAAAAATAGATGACTGGATCAAGATGTGGTCCATATACACCATGGAGTATTACTCAGCATTCAAAAAAGATAAACACATGCCATTTGCAGCAACATGGATGGCGCTGGAAGGGATCATGCTCAGCGAAATAAGCCAGAAAGAAAAAGAAAAATACCGGATGGTCTCACTCATAGCAGGAATCTAGAAAACTTAAATAAGGGACCAGGAAAATGAATAACTACAAGAAAGTGAAAATCAAAATCAACAAAAAACTATGAACCAGAGACACTCTATGGGGGGTAGAGGGCGGGAGGGGAGGGATTGGGGTCAAAATAAGGGGGTTGCAATTGTATGGGGAATATAAAAATAAAATTTATTATAAAAAAATTCATGAACACAAACTATCTCCTGCTTTTATCGGCTTTATCAATTGTTCACAAATACATATTCATTTAAAACAAAACAAAACAAAACACCCCTACCTTTTGAAAGTTCCCATTATGCCACTTAGCTTTGACGAAAGGGCTACAATAGCTCCTGTTTTACTACTGGTAAGGAATCTGAAGAGGATTTTCACTTTTATGGCAAAAGTTGAAAAGTGAAAACAGGTTTCAGCATTTATGTTGCAGCATCTGATCTGGAGGCAGCAGCACTCCTTATAGTGCATGATTCCCCCCAAATTCCTTTCCTGAAAATTACCTTCTAAGAGTGTGTGTGTTGTCATTCTTGCTTTCGCTGTGTGTTAGTGTTATTTTAGTTTATGTGTTGCTAATAGGACTTCGTAAGCCATATTGGGCGCCTGGGAACACTCAAAACTTTTCCATATAAATTCATGGTAATAGCTTCAGCTTTACATGATTTTGACTAAGATATTCCTATGATTGATTTGTTAATATGTGGTGATATATGCCACTAATTGTTCTTTATGATAATAGTGTGGAATTTGTGTCCACTTTCGGGTAGTGGGGGAAACCTATATCCAGCAGCCAGGAGCAATAGAGGACACTTGTTGGTGTGCACTTGTCACGTAGTCCTGGTTGCTCATCGGTAAAGGAATATTAGCCTCAGCTGGGCCAGACTTGGACACCTACTCCTGGACGCATCTGAGAATGACACGTTGCTGTATTCTCTGGAGTTGCTGTATTGATGTGTAGATACAACACATCAGGATTCTTGCCATTGGATTGCTAACCCCAGGAGCTTGGGACTGGATTGGGCATCGATCCTATTGTGGGGGAAGGACAGACTCAGGGTGCACCCAACAGCCCCAAAGCTGTGAGAGGTCTGAGGCCATTTCTGAGTGCCAGCGCTAGCCCCTGAGTGCCAAAGCTAGCCCCTGAGTGTCAACGCTAGCCCCAGTGTGTCAACGCTAGCCCCTGAGTGCCAAAGCTAGCCCCTTTGAACTTCTGGCTTGTATAAACCAGTGAATTCCTTTCTCTCACCAGCTGGTGTGGGTTGAATATGCTGTCAGTTTTAACTGGAAGGTAAGTTCCATTGCAAAACTTCCCATCAAAGTTGTTTATCAGGCCTTTAAGCAGTGGTTACTTTTTCTGTGCTTTTCTCTGATGTCAGATTTGCTTCTCTTTATCCTCCATATGTGTGAGGACTGAGTAAATATTGATAAATGCTGTCTGTTTGGAAAGAGGAACTATCTAGTCAAGCAAGGGACTAAAATAGAAGTTGCAAGTTGACTGTGATAGTAAAAGTATCTGAGAATCTGACAGCTGAGCAGGGAGGCAAATACAATGGGCAGTGACTATCACTTGAAATGGGCTTAGGAGCGCATGGGAGGGAGGTGGGAGGAAGCAGAGCGATATAGTGAAGGGAGCAGAGATGGGACAGCACTGGAGGGGACATGGGGTAAGGGAGACCACCATGTCTCATCTGATTCTCCCTTACTATGTTTCTGTTCCTTCAAGAAGATTCTGTCTTTTCAAGAAGATCGCCAGAGACTTAAAGAACTGCTCTTGCTCTGGGGAATTCTCTCTCTCTCTCTCTCTCTCTCTCTCTCTCTCTCTCTCTCTCTCTCTCTCTCTCTCTCTCTCTCATCGTTTGAGGCTCTCTCTGTCCTTTAGCATCAACATGCAGGAAAGCCCGCAGGGATAGTTAATTCCGATGTGGAGAAGCTTTAGGCACCACCCCTTAGACTGCCTGCTGCTTTCCTTCTCTCCTGCTCACCTTGCAAAGTTTTCTCCACAAACAGCCAGATGGCTCTTTTAAAGGTATCAATTAGATCTGAGGCATGCAGCAGGGGAGGGCAAGAGATAGGGGTCAAAACTGGGGAGGGAAGAGCACAAGGGACTGTGGTGATGGCTCATGGGTGCTGTGGGTGGTGGGGGAACTACGGGGACTACAAGGACTACGCCAGAGGGGAGAAGTCAAATACTATCTGAAAATTAACAACGATGTAAAAAAATAAATATGAAAAAAAAAAACAAAACACACAAACCCCAAACAGATCATCTCACTCTCCTGTTTTAAAATAACATTAGTAACTGCCACTTTACAATGGCTTCAAACTGTACTTAAGTTAAAATCCAGGACTCTTACCCAGGCCCATAAAGCCCTGTGTGGTCTGGGTTTGACTCTGATTCCAGCTCCACCCCTCCCAGCCCCTTCTCCGTGCTGCCTCTTCCACTTTGCGTCGGCTATGGAGTAAGATGAACTCACTCTTTCCTCAGGGACCTCACCTTCTGTTTGCACTGATTTATCTCTTCTTTCCCATGCCTTTGCTCTTTTAAAAGATTTATTTTTATTTATGCATACAGGAACTGGGGTGTAGGCCAGAGGTGCAAGGGTAAGAGGATTCACCAGAGACAGAGTGCGGAGCAGAACAGGTGGATCTACTGAAATACACTGCTGAGGGGAGCAGCAGGTGAGACAGCAGAGGTCTGCTGTGCCATGTGGGTAGCTCCCTGGCCAGGGATCAAACTCATGTTGCAGTGGCTGCTGATAGCTTGATAGCACGGACTTTAACCCCTGCACTACCAGGGAGGGCCTGACTTTGCTTTTTGACTTAGTGTTTCTGTTTCCTGCAGATAAATACCCAGAAATAGGATGACTGGATTATCTGGAATTTCTATTGTTAATTTTTAAGGCACCACTGTTTCCCATCCTGGCTGTTACAGACCCTCACCCAAATGAGTGGAGAAAATTCACCAGAGAGCCCTAGCTATAATTGAACGAGGCAAGTCTTTATATGAGGCTCATGAATGAGGGGAGCTGGGAAGGAGCATTTAGACCGGCTCCTTGGGAGGAGCTGGAAGATAGGAATGGTTGGCCATGAAGGCTGGGCTGGCGGAGAGCAGCATCATTACTCTTTCTGGGTTGGTCTGTGCATTCTAACTACACGTGTGGGCACTCGGCCTTCTTCCTCCAGGAAACTGTGAGTCTGTTGTTAGTCAGGATCTAATGCTCTTTGTCTAACATGGTGCCTCATGGTGGACAGGGCTGCAAGCCCATGATTTAGTCCACCTGTTCAAACAGGACTTGGGGTAACTCTTACCTACTGATTCACAATTTCTTTTACATCAGTTGTCTTAGCTGCACCAATTTACATTCCTGCCAAGGCTTCTCCACACTTCTTATCGCTTGTCTTTTTTTTTTTTTAAAGATTTATTTTTATTTATTTATACAAGCACTGGGTACAGTCAGAAGCGCGGGAGGGTGAGAGGATTCACCAGAGCCAGAGCAGGGAGCAGAACAGGCAGAAGGACTGAAGTACACTGCTGAGGGGAGCAGCGGGCGGCAGGAGAGGTCTGCGCGCCATGTGGGACCCTCCTCCGGTGGCGGGAACAGCCGGGGATCGAACCAGCGCTACAGAGGCTGTGGGCAGCTTTGCAACCCAGCCCTCAACTGCTGCGCCACTGGCGAGGCCCCATCTCTTGTCTTTTTTGATAAAGGCCATTCTCACAGGTGTGAGGTGACATCTCATGGTGCCCTGGAGTTCCCCGATGATTAGTGAGCTGAGCACCCTTTCTTGGCTGACACCTCCTTGACCTTTAGGTCTCAGCTCCAGGTCAGCTAATCCTTCCCTGATGGCTCATCAAAAACTGGTCCCCCCAGGTGAACATCACCTTGCTTAGTCACTTTTTTTTTATTT